TTTTTTTTTAATGCACTTGTTTGACTACATACTACATGGCTAGCATTCATATAGAAATTCTGGTCTGCCTGTGATTTTCTGTACACCATTTGATGGCTGCATGAAACAGCACTGTTTAGTTTCTGAATTAATGGTCCCCGATGCTTCTGTTTAGTTAGTTCATTCAAAATGTTTCAAATTCTTCCTTCTCCAGCTAATGAAAGAAAAGCACTGCTAGCAGCCAGGATAAATAAGGAAAGAATTTCAACTATCTCCTAATGAAACATATTCTCTTCTCAGGGATATTTTTTCCCTGGGATTTGGGCCATTTCGCTGGGTTTGCACCTCAGGTGACCCACAGGACCTTGCTACCACTGACTCCATCGCCATGTCTGTGCTGGAGGACTCCATACGTAGGGGAGGTAGGAAACCATCCCGTGTGCCCATAACTGGGGCTGCTTTTGGAGAGAAAAGTAAAGAGAGTTGTGTGACTTCTGGTGGCTTTTGTCTGAAATCTTGGCGAGCAGTTTCTTGCTTATTCCACATGGGTGGGAAATTTCATTTGTTCCTCAATTCCTACAAGGACTGTAAGACGTAAAAAGTAAGGTGAGGTAAGATGTAAAAACACCCTGTAAAGGGGTTATCGATCCTGAAGCTATTGCAATTTTGGTTGTTTCTTTCTGTTTTTTATATATTTTCCTGCAGTTTGTCACGCTGAAATTTTAAAGCAAGGCATGTCTCTCAACAGCTTTCAAAGAGTTGTTCTTTTTGTTTTGCTTGTTTTTAAATTGTTTTGTCCCTATCTCACAGAAAGAGGAAAGAGGCAGGGGGACCTAGCGAGGTTCATAAGAGGTTAGAAAGCAGATCAGAGACAGGGAACCCAGATTTCCTGGATGTGGTGCTCCATCCAGTGTCATTTATTTGGGATTACAGTTTTGATGTTTGTCTTCTATGTCGTTTGACAATCAAGTGGTACCTTATCCTATCTGCCGATGGAACCCATCTGGAATACCTTCATAGATATATGTTATACTTTAGGAATTACACCAACTTTCATCTTTCCATATCCCCTAAAGTGGACCAATATTATGCCAAGTTTATGGGATAAGGTACTCAGAAATGTAACTAAAACTGTGAAGATTTGGAATGCTCTCTTATTTGTAGTGGAGCAGTTAATCCTGTGAGGGACTGACCTGCTGGAAAGCAGCTTTGTGGAGTGGGATCTGGGAGTCCTGGTTGATAGTGTTAACCATGAGGTAGCAACGTGCCCTGGTGGCCAAGAAGGCCAATGGGCTCCTGGCTGCATCAGGAGGAGCGTTGCCAGCAGGGCCAGGGAGGGGATCCTGCCCCCCTGCTCAGCTCTGGGGAGGCACCTGGAGCATTGGGACAGTTTCGGGTCCCCAGGACAAGGGGGACGTGGAGCTGCTAGAGAGGGTGCGCACAAGGAATTTCCTTAAAGCTTCTGAGTGGCAGTATGAACCTACTAGGACAGCACAAGCAGCTGTTTCATCTTTCACTCCTTGCAAATCTAAGAGCTGACGTGTTAATCCTTGCAGAGTTTAGAGGTTCTTACTTGGAGCCAACCCATAAAGCACTGACAGGTCCATTTAGCATCATTAAAACTCACTGCAGGAGATCTGCCTCTGCAGGAGCGAATGTGTTTTACATTGCCCTTTAACAATGTATTTAACACAAATTAAATATGAGTATCTTTTTCTCATTTCCAGTGGTACAATGCATATTTGCTGACATATTGCTTAGTGGAAAGACAGTGCTCGAAACGCTTATTTACCTGGAACAATTTGAAATGACTCGTGTATGTTATAATTCAATGTGAAAATGGACAAGAGCTGGCAAGTGGTGTGGAATATGATATCTTGGCATCTAGTGGACGCTGAAATGATTGTAATACAAAACTCCAGTGCAGGAGCAAATCACTGTGATTTAGCATATTATGTCAGCTAAGCCCTGGTAGTTGCATAGGTCTCTTGGAGTAATACAACATAGCTTAGCCCGCACAGAAAGAGCCTACAGGCTGCTGCTACTATACCTTCAATTTCCGAGCTCACATTCACGCTGTTTGGAAAGTACCCCAAACAGTCTTGGGGTCATCACTCACCTGAGTGATGTGTCTTGTTTCCCTGTCTTTCACTTCAAGTGTCTTTATTTTTCCTGCTCTTCAGTTTGTGGTATTGATAAAATAGAATAGCACAGGTATAAATGAGAGAGAAAGCTAGAGCATGGTTAAAAACATTATATATATTTCTCAGACAATGTATCTATATAACTATGTGTAAATGGGATGCAGAGTGCATTTGCACATGGAGTAGCTTTCTCCCAGATAAATCCTTCTCTGCTATCATTTGCTCCATAGTAACATGAGGTAATATACCCCAGTTTCATTGTGGAATGAGTGACCTTTAGTTTTCTCTTGAGATAAAAATGTTCACATGGGCAATTAGTACAGAGCTACTGCTGTGTTATAAATCTATGCTCCAGTTTACCCCTATAATAGTTTATTAGTGTAACTTATCCTCAAGTACATATTACCAACCATTGAGATTGGTGCGTGCTCAGATGAATTATTTTTTCCTGATATAAGGCTGGACTTTAGAACTCAATATCATGGAGTTTGCTAAAGCTACTTATTTAGCAAAGGCTCAAAGAAAGATTGGGCATTTAGTAAATGGGCAGAAAGACAGATGACATAGTATGAGCTGCACACATATGATCAGTATTTCAAGCTTTAACTTGGTTTCCTAAAGATTTGTATGAGAGACTTCATTCCCAGCTGCATTCTGTGTGACTTTTTATACCTTCTTCTAAATATACAGTAACAATCACTACGTAAGCTGCAAATGACTCTATATGTTACTTCCTATATATGTGTTTACATCTGAGACAATTTGACTCCCAGGGGCTGTCAGACGGATTTAATTTTATGCAGACTATATTGCATTTATTGCATTTATCTTCAAAATGCTTTCATTCCT